GTTTGCACTTCATTATTGCCAAGTGCATTAATTAGTGCAGCTTCATTAGCAGTGACACTGTTAGACACAAGAGACAGATGGAGGTGTGTGTGTTTGTGTGCTTGCTGAAGATACTGATGATTTATGGATATTTGTTGAACCTCTGTGTTTACGACTGTCTGTTAGAGACATCAGACCCCCACGGAGTGCTTCAGTTCCCAACACTGATTTGATGGTTGTGATCCACACTGTACTTGTGTTTTTTTGGGTCTGTCTTTGAAGTAAAGCATCTGTTTGTTTAGCATGTGTATGTCTGGAGCAGTCGTGTAGCTGTGCGGTGTGTCTCTGGAGTTTTTTTTGGATGTAGAGCGTATGAGAAATGTGTCAGGTCAGCTCCCCCTTTCTTCTCCAGAAATAGTCATGCATAGTAGAGCTGTTAAACCCAGAAAGCTGTCATGTATAACTTTGCCATCACAGGAATGAATTACATTTCAAAATACATAAAAAACAGATATTTTAGAAAAGTTATTTTAAATTGTAATAATATTTTATAGTTTTTACATTTACATATAGTTTTTACATTATTTTTTGATGAAATACATACAGCCTTGGTGATCTTAAAACCCTTTTTTTTTTTTTAATTGTACATGTATGTTTATAGTTTTTATTTTATCAGAATTTAGTCTTTTATATAGTATTTATATTTTTATTTTATCAGAAAAAAGTATATATGACAAATCTGATTATTTTTCACTATTGATTTGTATTAATGTTCTTAATTAGTTGTAACTGAAATCACTTTGCAGTTTTATTTAACTCTTAGTTTAGAAAAGCAGATTCACCTTTCCATTACAACAACAACAAATGCAAAATTCTGATTGCTTTTGCACTCACTTTCTGTCATGCCTGCAGAGTCAGAGGCTGATTTGGCAAGGTTGTCCCAGTGCTGACCTCTGCTGGGTGTGATTGGATGAAAAATATGTTTATGATTATTAAGAACAGGTGTGTGCCCTAGGGGCAGAAGAAGTGAGAGAGAAGATCTCTTTTCTAGCCTCAGGCACTTATCTGTTAACCATGCTGAGCCACCAATATTCAGTTTCCATTTTGCTGTTTGGCGTACATGCAGGTGTTGATTTGTTTTGGGTTTGGCTCATCTTTAGGTTAAGCAAGATTTTGTGAATTTATCGTTGTGTGGTGTTTTGCTGTCAACGTGAATACACAACAAAATGACAGATTTTCTTTGTGCACATTTTTTCCGTTAAATCATCAGTTATCAGTGGCAGCACAGTGCCCAGAGGCTTATATGTGAGTAGCGTAGACTGCACCCTCGCTCAGGGCCAGTTCATTGTCTTACACACTCCTGCACCATTCCAGTGGAAACTGATGTGGGGGCATGTTTGATAGACAGTTGAGTTTACGCATAAAGGAGGTTACATTTCTTTGAGCCCTTGAAATGTTGCAAGCTAATGTGAGGTGCAGTACTGTAATGAGAGCTGTGCAGCAGTAGAGGTAAGACAAATGCATCTCCGATACCAGCATTTTGTATAGATATTTTCAGTTTAAGGTAAATTGCATGATTTTACTATGCATTATGATTGTTTCATAAACATTACGATTTGTTTTTACATCCACCAACCCCTGTAATTAATTCTAACTAATGTTTTATGCAAATAAAAAAAGTTAGTTATGTTGTTAAAAGCTCCATATTTAATGTTGACGTAATATAAATACAGTTGGAGTAGTTGGAGGTTTATAAGTTGTTGGAATGAGTCACTGATACACTGATAAAGTAGAATATATTCAGTAAAGGTAAGAAAAAAATATTATGTAGAGTTTTACTTTACTTAATTGTAAAGCTTTGCTGTGCATATATATTAAATTTGATTATATATTTGTGTGTTTGTGTGTGTGTGTATATATATAAATAAATAAATAAATATATATATACACACACACACACACATAATTAATGTGTATAAGATTATTTATTTATTTTTTATTATTATTGGTATTTAATTTCTGAATAATCATTAATAAATAATTAGTATGTGTGTATGTGTATGTATATATATATATATATATCCTATGTTTTATTACATTTTAAATTAAGTATATTATATTACATTATATTATATTATATTATATTAGTATAAGTTTAAGTTTAAGTATAATTAGTATATTATATGAAATATATTTATATTAAAATTAGTATATTTGGCTTACCATATAAAAGCTGTTTGATATAAAAGATTTATAATAATCTCTTGATGAGTAGTATTATTTCACCCACTTTTGTAATTCTTTACATGCATCCATTCTGGACATGCAAACACTAAAAACAAATATAAAAAGCATTGTCTTTTTATTGCCTGTTTTGATTTTAGTATGAGTATACTGGTCACTTACATTAATATTGCGCTTCACAGGCATAAGGTCATCTCCTGAAGGCAGATGTAGAGGGATTTGTTTTGGTGCACACATCTTGAGCAAATTCATCTTCATCTTCCGTTATCTCTCTCTTTCCCGATGTCTAATGCATATTAAATTGAGCCTAAAAAGACTCTGGAGAGGCTATAAATGCATTACCCACCTGTGGACCATCCTTTCTGAAAAAGAGGGCTACTGATAGGCTGTTTCACTCAGCTGCAGGCGTGCAGCTCATCTCGCCACAGGCTTCTGCTTGTACCCTTGCTCGCTGAGGTGATACCATTGTCCTTTGAACTCACACATGGCAGAGGAATGGTAGAGCTTCCTCTGTATGTGAAGATTGAAATGTGGTTGGCTGAAATAGCTGTGATTGATTTGTGCGTATGAGTGGCTGTGTGGAAGGTAATGGTCTGAAATGAGCACTCCTGCAGTACTGGAATGTTTTGGTCGCTCTCGGGTTCCACAGCGATCTTATCGTTTGGTCAGAGCGTTTCAGCGCATCCGATGCCACCCAGAGACGCAGCTTCGTCCTTGTCTCTGTACGTATACCCCAGCCCTGTTTTTTGACTGATGTGATGGTTTTTAGAAGCAAATAACTTGTTAAAAAGGTCATAAACCTTCAGTTCTTCAGCATAAAGCACATTTGAGTATTATGATTGCACACTTTCATATGTAGATTGTTTGAAACCTTTAAATGGATCATGATTCAATTCCTTTTAAAGGGGTCATTGGATGCAAAATTCACTTTACATGTTGTTTGAACATAAATGTGTGTTGGAAGTGTGTGTACACATCCACCCTATAATGATAAAAATCCACCCAGTAGTTTTCTTAAAATCCCTATTTTAAAATCCCCTTTCTCAAATCAGGTTGTTCTGAGATTCCTGTCAGAATGACGTAGTTCTGCACAGGCCCCTCCCACGATAGTTGATTGACAAGTCCGTCTTACCTTAAGAACCGCCCTGAGTAAGCTGAGAGCTGTCCGCCATTGTGTCGACTCCAGTGCAGGGGAAGACAAGAATGTCTCCAATTAAGCGATTGAGGTGTTTTGTTGTTGGATGTAATAATGAATATAGCATAGGGCTGAGCGATATAGCTAAAAAATGTATCAACGATATAATGTTTCATATTGTTCGGTATCGATAATAATTGACATTTTTTATAACCTTTTTTTATAGCCACGCACAACATTCAAATGCAAATGTTTATTTTAAATTCGACTAATATTCATTTTTTTTATTCACAATCTCCTCATCACAGGCAGGCACAGCACTCAATGTGTCAGATTAAGCGATTGAGGTGTTCTGTTGTTGGATGTAATAATAAATATAGCAGTCGTCATTTACTCCCGACATCTGAGCCGCTGAAGACGCAGTGGATTAATGTTACTTTCGTTTTTGAAAGGAATGCACCGATCCCCGATCTGCCTAAATGCGTTTAAGTTCGCTCAAATCATTCATGATCCAGCTTCGTCTACAGAAGAAGTGAGTATAACGTTTTTTTATGTCTTTGCAAATCGTCTTTCCTAATACATGCTAGTTAGCAAGTTTCGCGGCTGAAGTTTACAGTCTGCTCATCACCCCATGGAGGGAGAGGGGCGGGGATAGCAGAGCTCATTAGCATTTAAAGGAACATGCACTAAAACTGCTTGCTGAAAACAGAACTGATTTTGACAGCTTAAAAAGGGTGTTTTTTACACTACCATTGAGAAATGTTTGAAATATTGAGAAAACACTTTATTAAATAAGTGTTAAATAAAGTATGAATGAATATAGTATGAATAAAATCAGGATGTACTATGTCAGCCATGCTGTCAACGAGATAGTAAAGTGTCATAATCTCAGTACTTTTCATCTACAGTTTTATGAATACTGTGAATTGGGACATACAACTCTTTTCACATATTGTTTTTCACCTGTTATATAGTATCAGAGTAAACAAACAAATTTACTGTATTCAAAATGTTGTCCTCTATCAATGCCCATAAAATGCGTTGCACAAATTCGAACATCTGGGTTGTGCTGTTCTGTTGTAAATAAATCTTAACCAATAATTCCTAATTGCATCTACTTCCGAAAGGCCAAATAAAGTGCTTTTGCTTTCGCACTGAAACACACACCGTCTCCCTGACATGGCTGCATCAACACTACTGCTGTTCCTGAAACCACGCCTTCTTTCTTTGCTTGCACATTTGGGCGGCATTATGCTAATATTTCCACATAGTGACGTAGATATGTGGGGGCGTGTTAGAACGAGGCGTTTTAGGTAGGCGTGGTTGACTCTTAACTTTTATAAAGAATATCTCTTTGGATTTGAGACTTTAGTCTTTGCAACTTTACAGATCTTCTTTATGCACCAAGAGCTTGTTACACTCCAAAGAGAAAGGAAAACTTGAAATCGCATCATGTGACCCCTTTAAACAAAGACAGTCCTTATAAGTCCATTATCAAGAAAAAAACCTTACTGTTGATCTAATTTGTCATCCAGAGCTATTATGCCTTTCCCAGAATTATGTACTGTATTCTCTCTTTGAAGTGTTGTTATACTGTCGCCTTCCTCAGCTTTTAAACAATGTCTGTCTTGTTTTCTCTCAGTCCCTCGTGTGAACGGTCACTCGAAATCGGAGCGTGGGAATCGTGACTCAGCTGTTGGCTATGACAGTGCGTCAGTGATGAGCAGTGAGCTGGAATCCAGCTCTTTTATCGACAGTGAGGAGGATGAGGATGCCAGCAGGTCAGACATCACACAATGTTTCATTTCCCAGGAAATATTAAACGCAAATTTTATTGGCTCAGATTGCAGGATTAATTTCCTTTCAAACAATGACTGTACTTATTTGCCCACTGGCGTGACTACATTTCACTCTAATTTAATTTGTAAAGCTGGCCAAAGAATTAAATATGAAATTAATCTTTAAAATTAAGCATTAATTATGGTTTAGCGGTCAATTGAAATTAATCAATCATGTTTACAATCTTACATTTTTCCCATAGTTAATGCATTCATGATTAATATAAAAAAAATCATAATGTACTGTATAAAATGGATATTAATTTTGAGATTTGCTGAAGATTACATTAACCAGGTGTTATTAAATATTAACTAGATGATGACAAAGTAATCTAAAAATTAAAAATCTCTATTATAAGCCTCGATTAAATAAATCTCTGATATCAAGCTGTAACTGTTATGATGTCCATATATTGTGCATCCCTAACAGAAATGCAAATATTCAGTATTAAACAACTTTTCCCACCTTTATGGACATTTTGCCACTGACCTGCACATTAGTCTTCCTCTGGTGTTTGAATTAACTTCTCATCGGGTTATTAATTTTAAAATTAATTATCCGTAAAGAATACTTTTGTGGATTTTCTGAAAAACATTAAAAAAAATTTTTTTTTATATGTGAATGCCTCAGTGCTAGTCAGAATTAAACCGTTATAATGTCAAAATAAATTATGTGGCAGTAGTTTTAATTGAGAACCTAATTGAGAATTGGCCTCAAAACTGAACTCATATTGGAGATCATGTTTGGCCACCAAAATAGTGCACTTAGAGTTTCATAAAAACATGCTGCTTCATTAGTGTAGCGTTGACATCTGCTGTGACCTCTCATTTTGTCTGAAGCCACAGACTTAGCAGTTCAGCCGAGCAGAGCTCTTCATCACACCTCATGCGTAGACACAAACGCCGACGACGGAGGCAGAAAGTCACCAAAATGGACAGAGTGAGAAACATTGAGGAAAATGTACACATCTCTACATATTAGTGTTTGATCTGTACTAATCTTTTGTATGTTCTTTTGACAGTCCTCATCCTTCAGTAGTATTACAGACTCCACAATGAGTCTCAACATTATCACTGTCACTCTCAACATGGGTAAGAACTTATTCACTAGTTAATTCCCTTCTTTTTCTCCATCATCCATCCCTGTGCCATCTCCCTTTTCTCTTATCTGTCCACTCCACCTGCTTAATAAACCGAACCTCCTGTTTTTCAAGGTCTAGTGTGCACAGTGTGCTCTAAATATAGATGAACACGTCATTTGGAAACAGCCTGATCTCTTTTTCTCACAGAGAAGTACAACTTCCTGGGCATCAGTATAGTGGGTCAGAGTAATGACAGAGGAGATGGAGGCATCTATATTGGCTCCATTATGAAAGGTGGCGCGGTGGCGGCTGATGGCAGGATTGAGCCTGGAGACATGCTGTTACAGGTATAATAATCAGCAGTCTGAAACCACTTTCAAGAGGGATCAAGAGACTGATCTAATGTGCTTTTAGGAAGATAAAAAAAAAAAAAAAGTGCGTTCAAGTAATTGCCAGTATCCACAATGTTACTCACAGGGAAATTCTGTCACCATTTACTCACCCTCATGTTATTCCATTAGGTAAATACCACTTAAATGTTATAACCAGGAAAGTCGTCTTGAATATATCCTCATTGTCATTGCATGAATAAGTTTACACAATATAAATTTAATAGATAATTTACACTAACAATGATTCCATTAACAGAACTGAAACTGGCCTGTTATTGTAAGTCTCTTCTCTTATTAGTTTGTAAATGCACTTATCAATTGTCAAGTTTTAGTTGGGTCACTTCCCTGTTTTGTTGACTTATTGTGTTCTACTCCCTTTCCTTCCTGCTAAAGGACCTTTTGGTGTCATTGGCCACAAAGGACAGAATGGTGCTTTCAAGTCTTTTGTCTTTTATTTACATAACAGTGGGGCTTTCCTCAACCCAGTGATCTGATTTAGAAACAATAATGGTTAGATGACCCTGTGTTATTAGGTGAATTTTGCAGAATGACGTCCAAGTGACCATAAAACATCACGTATGTAAACAAACAGGCAGTTTGGTAGACTGAGAAACTGACTCGTTGATTTTTTTTCAAGAATTAATTCACCTAAAAGTCATTATTTACTCACCAATTTGTTCCAAACTGATTTGAATTTCTTTCTTGTGTGAAACATAAAAAGAGACATTTTGATAATATCCCGGTCATCCTTTTTCATGCGGTTACAATGAATTTGTAGTAAAAATGCACTAAAAGAAGTCCATATTACTTGATTCACTATTCTATATACTAGCCTTATGTGAGTTTTTTTAAGTTGCTGTTGAATTACATCTTGGTCTGTTTGTCACACATAGCTATCAGACTTCAAAATATAGTGCATATAAGTAATTTATTCTACTTTTATGAGACCTTTATGTAGCTTCTTAGTCATTTTGGAGCTTGACAGACCTAGTTTTCATTCACTTTCTTTTTATTGAAAAGAGTGGCCAGGATTCTCTTCAGATATTCACCTTTTATACTCCGTAGAAGAAACGAACTCATAAGAGTTTGGGGGAAAAAAGTCATAAATAATACAAATAATTTTTTGTTTTTTTTAGGTGTACTATCTCTCAAATAATTGCCTCAAATAGGAAAAATATATGTAATGCATCAAATAATGGGAGGTTTAATGGAAGTATAATTTTCTCAGGTCAATGATGTAAACTTTGAGAACATGAGTAATGATGATGCTGTCAGGATTCTACGGGAGCTCGTCTCCAAACCTGGGTGAGATTTGGTATTATACCTCAGTTGATTGATACATTTTCTCAGTAAATCTGTCATAATGCTCTCTTTAACATTGTTTCATGTTTCATTTGTCCTCTACAGGCCGATAAGCCTAACAGTGGCGAAATGTTGGGACCCCTCTCCTAGAAGCTACTTCACCATCCCTAGAGGTACCTACCGCCTACCATTATAGCAGCTAAATTATAGACATGAAGACCCATGCTGCATTCATCCAGTTCATTTTCTGGATCAGTTTTATTACCTTTCGGATTGTACTTAAATTCTGCAGTCTGTCTGTCCTCAGCCGAGCCGGTGAGACCCATCGACCCTGCTGCCTGGATCTCACACACTACAGCACTTTCTGGGCCATACCCCCATTATGGTATGATCAAAGTCAAATCTTCTGTTAATAGAATGGCAGACTTATCATGCTCAAAACTGTTATTTCTCCCTCATTTCACAGAGTTTGATGACCTCCCCCTTTCGGTGTCAAAAACAGACATGGCAACTATAGTAAAGGTCATGCAGCTACCAGATTCAGGCCTGGAGATTAGAGACCGAATGTGGTTGAAGATCACTATAGCCAACGCTGTCATCGGTTTGTGCCTTTCTTTGCTGTGGTTTGAATTTGATGGGTGGGAGTTACTTTCCTTGTGCCTTGTTTATTGCATGCATCAAGTTTTTGGTAGATGTTTTGTATAATCAATGTAATTGGTGTTATTTTTCTCATTGCTCAATCGCTGTGTTCCAGGGGCTGATGTTGTCGACTGGTTGTTCTCACGGGTGGAGGGCTTCAAGGACCGTCGGGATGCTAGAAAATACGCCAGCAGTTTGTTGAAACACGGCTACCTGAGACACACAGTCAATAAAATCACCTTCTCGGAGCAGTGCTACTACACTTTTGGAGACCTGTGCCAAAGTACAGTCAACACACACTTGAGTTGATAAAGATTTTTCAATCTTAGAAAAAAGTCTCTTATCTCACCAAGGCTGCATTTACTTGATCAAAAATACAGTAATATTATGAAATATTATTGGAATTTAAAATAGCTGTGTTCAATTTTAATGTATTTTGAAATGTAATTTATTCTTGTAATGGGAAAGCTGAATTTTCAGCAGCCATTACTCCAGTTTTAGTGTTGCATGATCCTACAGAAATCATTCTAATATACTGATTTTGTGCTTAAAGGGGTCCTATTATGCTCTTTTACAAAGTCTTGAAGTGGACTTTGAGCTTTGTAACTTTGCAGATCTTTTTTATGCTCAAACAGCAACATTACAGACTAACTAAAGTTGAAAAAGTGAAAAAGCATAATAGGACCCCTTTAAGAAACATTTCTGATTATTATCAGTTTTAAAAACAGCTATATTTTTGTGGAAACTGTGATTGTCTTTACTATCACTTTTGAATTAATGTATCTGCTGAATAAAAATATTAATTTCTGTCAAAAAATATAAAATAAATTACAGACTCCAAACTTTTGAACACTAGTTTACCTTTTAATACGTTAAGATAAGATCTGGCTTAAAGGTTAAAGTCAAAGATTTTGTGCTTAGAGTCATAAACCATCATTAATAATACAATTAAAATAACGTGAAATACGGATCATTTTAATTATTGGGAAATTCTTCTGTTTTCAGATATGGCTTCTCTCAATCTCAACGAGGGATCTAGTGGTGGTGGGTCTGACCATGATGGTCTTGCTCCTCTTCCTCCACCAGGAACCAACCCCTGGCCCCTCGGCGGTCAGCCCTACCCTTACCCAGGTTACCCCACTCCTCCACCAGGCTTCCCTCCTGTATACTCAGATCCTTGCCACAGTTTCCACAGTGGCAGTGCAGGCAGCCAACAGAGTGAAGGTAGGTGTTGTTTGTGTGTAAGAGAGCGCAATAAAAGACGCTCTGATAGATAAAAGGGAAAAACCCTTTTTCACGCTCGTCCCCACACACAATCCCGTGAGCTTCCTGTGTGACTTTTCCTTTCGGTTTCTGGAGTGCCTAATGATGTTAAGTAACAACTGTTACGTTAGTAACTGCTCAAATGTATTATAAATGGAATTTATTACAGTAAAATGGAAACCATCTGTGGGTTTATTGAAAATCTGCATGTAGGATGACTAGGTACAATACTATTATATGTTAAAGCAGTTTGAGTTTTGCTTTCAGTACCTGAATGAACACGGCACCCAGTCAGAATGACATCAGTGACACAAGACTAGTAAACCATGTGCACATATTTGCATGATTAGAACACTTCTCAGTTTTGTCCATTTTATTCAGAAAATATTTAAAATATTACGTTTTTAAACTCAACTTTTTTTTGACATATTAGCAGTTACTCATGTAAATTAAATGCATAGCAATTAATTAGTCAGATACAGTTAAACTAGAAGTAAACAAAGGCTGGTGTTACATTCAAAACACCACTGCTTGACATGAAAATAATCTATAATGTGAATGTTTATAATTAATGTGTAATTGCATTCAAGGCACTAGACATATTATAAGTTAAGATTTAGAACAGACTTTAATATTGACACCTGACTATGTGTGACCGAACAGTATGCATGATAAAGTTGATATTGAAAGTACATTTTAGTAAACATTCCCTAATGTGCCCTAAATATACATTACACAAATAGGAAATATTCTGATGTTTTTGTATTATTATTGCTACCAAAAAATGCTGGGTTGTTTAAACCCAACTTTGAGTCAAATATGGACTATCTAAAATTAAATTTTAAACTCAGCATTTTTTAGAGTCTAAGACTAAATCAAGATCGCAAATGCCAACTATTTTCTTTTTAATCATTCCATTTCCAGAGCATCATCATTGTCGCTGTTTTCACTTGGATATTCCATTTATGTGGTATGGCCAGACTTTTAAATCATTTACACTGCTTATGCCACCCTTTGCATAAATGTGCATGGTGGAGTTAGTACATAGTTGGGAATGTGTATCAGTAATAATGCAAAGGTCATTGATCTTAATGACTTTTTAACACCGGTCCAGCATACTCAACTTTGGTCGCTTCAGGAAGCATAACATATGGTGGCATCACAGAAACTGGGGTGCAGGGTTTTTGTGAAGAGCTTGTTGGTATATTCGGTGTGGGAGTGTTAGATGGAAGATCTGGTTGGGCAACATGTCGTAATTCTGATATTCCCTCTGTTTTTGCTGGCCGTCTATAGACTGATGGAAATTTCTTCTATTCACAGGGAATCCGGTAAGATTAGCACTCTCATTTGAACGTCCTCCCGCCCCACGTTTTCTCCTTGACATCTTTGTTATTCCAGTGGTTTGTCATCATATGGCATATGACTCATTGGGTGGCCATTGTGACTCCCCAACTGTGTTGCTTGTTTGTGTTTCTTGTGTGGGCATGTGCAGTTTTACCTTCCTTGTGCATGAGAATCCGACTGATTCTCATCCTTTGAAACGTCATGCAATACACTTACTCTTTTTGCCAAAGTCTGAATCAACTAGGAAAAGCTGAAATGAATATTTCCATGATACTGTATGCTGTGAGTTGAAGCTTATTGCATTCACTAGAACTGTATTATCGTAAAATTTAGGCCATCTATGTCATTTTGACCTACCTTTAATGCTGACATTGGTTAAAACGCATTACCACCACAAAATTTGCATATTCATACCATATCGTTTTTTTGTCGATGTATCGGTGTTGTTAAGTACCCTCATGGTATTGCTGTCTTTCACACCATGTCCTAACCAGGTGCGACACAACAACATTACAGCCAATCAGAGCACAGATGAAGAGCGTAAAACTAAGAATATGTACCTTCAATGATGCCTCTCCACACGACTTTTTTAAATGTTGTTTATTGACAGAATTGTGGAATTTGTATTTCTTTTGGTTGTTTTTAGTATTACATACTGAATATTTGTAAATATTTTGCCCATTTTTGCCTTTTATTTTAATGAGACCGTTTCTGTAGAGATAGGAATGAACTGGGTCATCAAAAATGTTGCTGCATGACATGAGGGATTTGTTCAATCTTCCACAATCATTCTCTCCTTGTATATGTTTGATGTTTAATATACACTACCGTTCTAACGTTAGGGTTTGGTTAAGATTTTTTAACATTTTTGAAAATGTTTTGTCTCTTATGCTCACCAAGGCTGCAATTTTTTGATCAAAAATACAGTAAAAATAGTGATGTGAAATACTACAATTAAAAATAACTTTTCTCTTTTAATATATTTTGAAATTTAATTTATTCCTGTGATGACAAAATGTAATTTTTAGCAGCTATTACTCCAGTCTTCGGTGTCACATGATCCTTCAGAAATCATTCTAATATGCTGATTTGGTGGTCAAGAAACATTTCTTATAGCAATGTTGAAAACAATTGTGCTACCTTTTTTTTTTTTTGGAAACCTTGATACATTTATTTTCCAAGATTAATGGATGAATAGAAAGTTCATAAGAACAGTATTTATTTGAAATATTTTTATAACAACGTAAAAGTCTTTACTGTCATTTTTTTTTAATCAATTTAACGTGTCAAGTATTCACTACTACTTAAAAAAAAAAAACCTCTTCACCGCAAACCTTTGAAAAGTAGTGTAGATGAGAAGCTGGATTTTTATCCAATGAGATAAAGTTGGTTAGTAGTGTAGATGAGAAGCTGGATTTTTATCCAATGAGATGAAGTTGGTTGACGCTGCAGAAATATAAATCAAGCAACTAACCAAATGTAGATTTGCTTGTCACGTCTGTAATACGAAACATTGCTTGTTGAATCTGGTTAGCATATGGTTTTGTGAGGGAAAATAATACTACTTTTGTCCAAACACATTTGTCTTTCACATCAGGTAGCAGAAGCAGTGGCTCCAACCCCAGCGCTGGGAAAGGACGGAGACCCTCCCCTCGAGAAAAGGACCATAAGGCACCGTGCTGTGGGGGCAGCGAATCAGAAATGGGAACGTGGGTCAGAAGGAGGGGTGAGAGAGCACCCAGTCAGCTAAGTCATCAAAGCCGCAGCCGCTCTGCTGCCAGTCAGGCCCACACCAGCCACAGCAACGCTCATTCTGGGTACAGCCACGGCCAGTGTCACAGCGTCTCGCAGCATAGCCACAACTTCACCTACAGCCATGCCCCTTTCATTCAGCCCAATCATCTGTCCTGTGCCCACAGTGAGAGAAGTCACGGCTCTTCGTACGGCCCACCGGGTCTGCCCCCTCCGTACTGCCTCGCTCACCTCGCCCCCAAAGCGGCAGCAAGCAACAGCCCACCTGGGGCTCCTCCTGTCCGGGAGCTAGCAAACGTCCCCCCAGAACTCACAGCTAGTCGGCAGTCTTTTCAACACGCTATGGGCAATCCTTGTGAATTTTTTGTTGATATTATGTGACAGGAGAGTGCCTTCAACCCTTTCAGAGCACAAGGCCTACTTCCCGCAGTTTGCTTAATGAATTTTTCCTACTGACGATCCCTGCACTGAGAGTGTACAAACTAGTGATGGGTCGTTCTTGAACGATTCGTTCATTTTGAACGAATCTTTAATATGACTCAGGAACGACATGTTGTCTCAGCAAGGGATTCGTTCATTTCGTGTTGACCGCGCATGCGCAACATCCAATAGGTTCTGTACAGGAAACAGAAATGATTAGTGCAACTCTCGAGTCCTCGGGTTCGATTCGTTCGTTCATCACGTGACAGCCCCATAGACTAGAGGCTATGCAGTCAGTACCGGAAAGAGAAATGATTAGTTCATCTTCCAAGTCTTCGGGTTTGAGTCGTTCGTTCATCACGTGACAGCCCCATAGACTAGAGGCTATGCAGTCAGTACCGGAAAGAGAAATGATTAATTCAACTTCCTAGTCTTCGGGTCCGAGATATTCATTCTTTTGTCACGTGACGTGAGAGCAAGCAGTGGATACAGAAATTAGTTAATAATTCCCAACCTTCCTTACAAAAAAGCATGTAGTTTGTTTCTTTACTCTTACAGTTACGTAATTTTTCTGGTCTCAAATTTTATTTGAGCTTTATAGCTTTTTATTTCTTACAATTTAGCCTATCATAATGAATGTGGTAATAAAGAGTTGGTTAATGCTTTATCTGTATGATGGGGAAAATCACTTTGATAATTCCTAAATATAACACAACATTACAAGATACTGATCCGGTAAGCAGTCACGTGACAAAAGAACGAACGACTCGAACCCGAAGACTCGGGAGATGAACTATCATTTCTCTTTCCGGTAAAGACTGCTTTCATTTAACCTTACAGGGATGTGACGTGACAAAAGAACGAACGACCCGAAGACTAGGGAGGTGAGGTGAACTAACAGACTGCACAGCCAGCTAAGCAATGAATGAATAATTTCAGTTTTTTTATAATTTGGCCTTGGTTGCATTATAGTTTATATAATGTGATCAATGTTTGCGTAAATAGATGTGTTTGGGAATTTGGATATTAACATGTAACATTTTAATTATATTCTGCTGAAATGAACGAAATTACTTGAAAAAGGATTCGTTCATTTTGCTGAATGAGATTCAAAGATCCGAGTCAGTAAAATGATCCGAACTTCCCATCACTAGTACAAACTAACAGCCCAATTTAAAGCGTTTAAAGGGACAGTTCACCCAATACGGAGTTCTGTCATTTACTCTCAATTATGCACATGTAGAGTTTCTTTCTTCTGTGGAACAAAAAATTACTGTTGTAATTGTTAACTATTACAAATTTTTTCAGTAATTGAAATAAAGCTGAAATAAAATAAAATATAAATGAAAATTAGAAATGTTGCCTTGGAAACAGAAGTCCTAAAATGATTTAAACTAAATAAAAATGTCAATATAGAAATATTAAAATTGAGTCAAATAACAATGACAAATGCACATAATAAATAATAATTATTCTATTAATAAATATAATAATGTAATAATATACATAATAAATATTACTAAAACGTTCAAATTAAAATGAAAACTGAAAATATACAAATAAAAGCTATTAAAATATTAATAAAATGGTATAATAGCATATAGACAATACTAAAATAACACTGCTATTTTTTATATATATGTTTTTAATACTGAACATTTTATTCAGAATATCCTGACAACTCTTTTAATTGGAGTGACTAGGGACTGGGGCTGTCAAGCTACAAATTGACCAAAAAAAACAACAAAAAACATAAAAGTATCATAAAAGTAGTCATAAGAAAAAGGAGATTATCATTTATTAACAGCTTAGCTTTCTGTGGCCAAAATATATCATATGTCTTCAGAAGACGAAATATAGCCCACTATGTTGCATGGACTATACTTTTTCTTTTTCTTTTTCTTTTTTTGTCATTTCGGAGCTTAACAGCCTGTCCACATTCCCTTCTATGATATGCAAAGGAACGAACAGGATATTTAAAAAAAAAAAGACTTTTTTGTTAAACAGAAGAGAGAAGATATTTGGGGGGAAAAAAACAAGAGTGAGCAAATGACAGATTTTTAATTTTTAGGTCAACTCTTTCTTTAAAGGAGTACTTTACTTCCAGAATGAAAATTCTGTCATCATTCACTCACCCTCCACTTGTTCCAAACCTGTATGAGTTTCTTTCTTCTGTTGAACACAAAAGAAGATATTTTGAAAAATGTTGGTATCTGAACAGTTGATGGGCACCATTGACTTCCATGGTAGGAAAAAAAAAATACTATGGAGGTCAGTGGTGCCCATCAACTGGATACTAACATTTTTCAAAATATATTTTTTGTGTTCAATAGAAGAAAGAAACTTTCTTGAGTACATGACAGAATTTTCATTCTGGAAGTGAACTACTCCTTTAACGTTGATTCAATGTTTTTTCAATCATAGAAAGATGCTAAAAAAAAAAAGCACAACTGCAGAGTTAATTTACTCTGACACAAAACCTACAGTACTGCAGTAGAAGCACAAGATAACACAACTAATAAGCTTTTAACAAGAATGTCAGACTGTCTGCTTCTTATGCTTGAAGCAGCATGTAGCTGCTCTACACTTTGCACAAGTTACAAGCCAGAAAACTGGCATGACAGCTGTTGAAACAGTCTGTACTTTTAAATGTATCCATGCAGTGGATGCTTTTTTTTCTTACACAGTTGCATTTGACTTTACATTCACAGAGTCATAACCCTGTTGACAATCAGACATTATAACATCATAATGTCCCTAAACATTGTTGAATGTATTGTCTTGTGAGGCTACAACTCAAAATTCCCTCATTAGCTTGATAGCATGTTAAGCTATCGTTAAATAAATGCTTGGACGTGTTCATTTTAGACTCATTGTTGCCAAATGTTGCAAAAATATCCGTCATGAACTCTAAATGTACATGATACATTTTAACAATAACAAAAAGGTGCTTTTCATAGAGTCCGTGAACTGACTGTTCAGATGTCACCAGTTGTCTTAGCATTTACCACTGTATTACGAACGTCACTGTACAGTTAATGCAGTAGACTGGTAGTAGGCCCTGTAAGTTATAACATAGATATTAAAACAGGTAGATAGGCTAACCAAAGTCCCTTGAAAATTAGTGAGTCATGATTTTTGTTCTAAAACAGTTATTTTTATGGAGGAAAGGTCAAATTTACTGGTAAAGCAGTGAGGTGTTGTCTTTGTTCGTAGTGTTCCGTTCCATGAACTGATCTATCTGCCTGAGCCAAAACAGGAAAGAGTAAGAGTTTGTCAAGCACTTTTGAAATGTAACTTCTGGGCCCTTTAGAATGAAACACTGATTGCAGTGAAAGCTGTTTGCTTTTTTGTTTCTTCACAAAAGAGGAATAATAAATTGTAAATATGATAACATAAATATATTATATAAATATATATATGAAACTGAGAAAATAAACTTTTAAGTATTAAGAAGTGGCCAGCCATTGTCTTGAAGTTGTTTTTTTTCTTTATTCATGAACACAGCTTGTTACAAAAGTAGCTTATTTTGGTCTGCTGTCTGGCACCATCAGGTCTCCAGTATTTGCTATTTGGCAGAAAACATTGGCATGTCTGGTAAAAGCTTAGGGCGGTGATATCATTTTTCACTATCTGTGTTTTGTCTGCATTATTTGTGCTGCCAAAACACCGGATCATTTTCAAAGAATAGATGTCTCCTGTCTACTCATAATCAATTGTCATACTGTTTTCCCAAATATAAATAATAAATTATATACCTTAAGTCATAAAGTCATATATTGAAGATTAATAAAGTGTGTGTACTGTAGTGCAGGCCATATATATATATATATATATATATACTACTCAAAAGGACACTTAGTGATTAAGTATAACACCAAGTCAATTAAAATATCAGTCTGTCCAGTTAGTAAGCAGAAGTGATCGTGAATCAGTTTCACCTGCTTTGGTGCAAATGAAAATTAAAGTAACAGGAGGTGCACTGGAGAGGCAACAGCAAGACAACCCTCCCCCCCCCAAAAAAAGGAATGGTTTTGCAGGTGGTGGCCATAGACAATTGCTCTCTCCTTATCTTTCCTGACTGATTCCACAGGTAGTCCATGTCCTCCAGGATAGGACATCCATACGTGCTGTCGCAAGGAGGTTTGGTGTGTCTCCCAGCACAGTCTCAGTCTTGAGCGTGGAGGAGATACAGTGCAGTGAGCCAGGCTGTTACAAGAGGACAGCTGGACAGAACTGTAGAAGGGTGACGTTCCCCAGGCATGAATCCAGTTGAGAACATCTGGGATTTTATGTATTGGAGCATCCAAAACTGCAGTTTTTTTTGTTACTTTGATGTTATATATATGCTTTGACACAACCAGTATATATATATATACAGTGGGTATAGAAAAAAATCACCCCCTTTTAAATTAATCACATTTTGTTGCTTTGCCGACTGAAATGAAGATGGACAGTTTTTGTCAAACAGAATCACCCCCCTCCTAAAAATGACTTGTAAACTCAATCAGGTGGAGCTAATCAGCTTCTCAATGGCACACAAAGCCATTTGACTTTCAACTGTGATCAGCTGTGGTCATTTTGATTAGCTGAGCATGAAAAGAGCTTTCTTAGAGCGTTTCAGTCCTTGGTAGTGCAACTGAAGCAAACAATCAACTATGGGTGGCAAGGCACTGTCAAAAGATCTCCGGGATAAAGTTGTGGACAGGCACAATTCGGGAGATGGATACAAAAAAATTCAAAGGCTTTATCAATGCCTAGAAGCACAGTGAAGTTTATTATTAAGAAGTGGAAGGTATTTGGTACAACACAGACCCTCCCTGGATCAGGACATCGCTCCAAACTGGATGAAAGAGCCAGAAGGAAACTGGCCAGAGAGGTGACCAAGAGGCCTACAGCAACTCTGAAGCAGTTGCAGGAAATTACTGGTTGTGTCAAAGCAGCTTTACATAATCAAACAGGAAAATAGTTTGTCAATGATGTAAGAAGACAATAAAAGTCATTTTTCAGCTAAATTCAGTTCATTGATGATTCAGTGATTTCATCATCCAGTTCAGTTCTCTTCCAATAGTGTGTGTGCAATCAGTCAAGCGTCCCTAACTAAGCAAGCCAAAGGTGACCGTGGCAAGGAACCAAAACTCTTATCGGTGACAGAATGGAGAAAAAACTTTGGGAGAAACCAGGCTCAGTTGGGGGCCAGCTCTCCTCTGGCCAGACAAAGCCAGCATGGCGTGGTTTAATTCCAGGCTGCAACACAGGTGCAGAGGTCTTGTCTGTTTCCGGTGGTGTTGTGCCATCGACGAGGTCTTCGCAGGGGATCTGTCTCTGGGGCACATCTAGTTGACGTGGTCTCCGCTGACATTCAGGGCTGTAGAGGTCGTCTCTAGGTGCTGATCCACCATCTGGACTGGATACAGACTGGATCTGGGTGGCTACGGTGACCTCGGAATAAGAATAAGGGTACATCATATGTTATGGGAAGTGTTCCCGCATGCATTGTCACGTGCATTGTGTGCATGCATTGTGTGCATTTGACAACAATATCAC